TACTAAGACAAAAAAAATTTTTTTTAAAAGACGACAAGAGCCCCCCCGAGGCGCACCTGTTACTGGTCGCTGGACCAAAGTAGTCCTTGAAGGCTTCGAAGTCTGTGATAGCTTTCTCCGTCAGACCGGAGACAAAGATGTTGTGACTGGCATCCTCTCTGATGGGCAGGTCTGTGCTGCCCGAGACCAGTAAGTCTTTCACCTGGGAGGAGGATATTGAAACAGAATCGATTAGCTTTTTAGTAAGATTTTACGGCGTTCGCAACTGCATAAGGTCATTTGAGCGCCAAGGGGTGGATGTCAACAGAGAAGTCCTTACAGGGAATCAGGCTTACTCTGCTCCCCTCTCTTTGTTTAAGTAGAGGTTTTATGGCACTCGCAACTGCATAAGGTCATATGAGCACCAAGGGGTGGATTTCAACAAAGAAGTCCTTACAGGGAATCAGACTTACTCTGCTCACCTCTCTAGCCTCAACAGCACAAAGTCTGCTTCGACTATCAAGCCATCCCCAGCAGTTCACAGGAGAGTGACAAACATACAAAAGAAGATGAGCAAAAAGGACGATAGTGAGGATGAGGACAGAAAAGGCAGCAGTTCCCCCTATGTTGTTCCGGTACAGTATGAGCATGACATTGATAAATCAGCCCATTTACAATTCTACTGTGCATAAGAACGTGTTAGTATCCCCCCTTTGGGAATGGCCTAAAGACAACTTCAGTCAGTAGCACTGCCCTGGGGGGGGGGGGTTGAGAGGTGGGGGGACGGGGACAGAATTGATGTCTTGTGACTGCACAATTAAAAAATCGACAGAGCAGCCAAATTTGTACATTTTCATTAAATTGATGCCATTTTCTTCTTCAAGCTTAACATGACTTTTATCAGTCCATACTAATACAGTAAACAAACTTAACCTATAAATTTCACATATATATATATATTTCCACTGGGCCAAAATCCAAGAAGTAACTAATTCATCTTGCCAGCACACCTCACAATTAAAGAAAAAAATTATAACTCTTCTCAGCAACTACACGCACACGGTCTTCATGACTGACAAATGTGTAAAGCCAACATAACATTCGTTACTTTCGATGGACACCACAGACAACAAACCCTTTCCTCATAGAAGCGTTACTTCCGATGGACACCACAGACAACAAACCCTTTCCTCATAGAAGCGTTACTTTCGATGGACACCACAGACAACAAACCCTTTCCTCATAGAAGCGTTACTTTCGATGGACACCACAGACAACAAACCCTTTCCTCATAGAAGCGTTACTTCCGATGGACACCACAGACGACAAACATTTTCCTTGTTACTTTCGATGGAAACCACAGATGACAAACCTTTTCCTCGTTACTTTCAATGGATACACAGACGACAAACCGTATCCTCATAGATACGATTCTTTCGCTATACGCGACAGAGGACAAACCTTTTCGTTGTAAATCTCCAGGTAGGAAAAAGTCACCGAGTGCTGAGGCGGGGGCAGACTCTGAACCGCGGCTGTCTCCACTTCCTCCGAGATCATGCTGAAAAGTGACTTGACTGTGCGGGGAATGATGCCGGGGTCCCGCAGTACACCCAGCATTGTGTGCGTCTTGCCTGGAATCAAACAAACAAACAACATTTGAATTCCCGTAATCACAAAAAAACCCCAGTTAAATATGATCAACATGAAACCACCGCACACAAAAAATAAGTACAGTTAAACTCTGTGATAATAAGGACTTTACGGGCCCCAAAAATTTCTTCATGTTAAGAAAGAAAAATTGAGAGCTTCAATATTTTTTAAACCATACATATATCGTAATAAAAAGGGTTACTTTACCCCCCCTTCTAGATTGATAACAACAACAACCTGGATCGATAACAACCCTCCACCCGCAAAAAAAAAAAAAAAAAAAAAAAGAAAAAAAGCGCACTCCAGCCTGGAACAGCAAAGAGTATTTCGCGCCTCACTTACCTGCCCCCGTAGGGCCGTAGGCAAAGACGGACACATTCTGTCCCTGGAAGGCGTTTTTCAAGAGCGGTTCCACACACTCGGTGAAAACAATTTGTTGCGAAGCTGTTTCATGGTACACGGAGCTAAATCTGTCAAAAGACATGATTGCAACAAAAAATGATGACATAAGTTTACAAAATAAGTACACAGTCAAAATTGCCCAAGACAGCCATATTTTGTCGAGAAGTAAAGGCGGGATTGTCTTTGACGGGTAGACATCTTAAACAATCATCAATGAATCAATTTGACGGGTAGACATCTTAAACAATCATCAATGAATCAATTTGACGGGTAGACATCTTAAACAATCTTCAATGAATCAATTTGACGGGTAGACATCTTAAACAATCATCAATGAATCAATTTGACGGGTAGACATCTTAAACAATCTTCAATGAATCAATTTGACGGGTAGACATCTTAAACAATCATCAATGAAACAATTTGACGGGTAGACATCTTAAACAATCATCAATGAATCAATTTGACGGGTAGACATCTTAAACAATCATCAATGAATCAATTTGACGGGTAGACATCTTAAACAATCATCAATGAATCAATTTGACGGGTAGACATCTTAAACAATCATCAATGAATCAATTTGACGGGTAGACATCTTAAACAATCATCAATGAATCAATTTGACGGGTAGACATCTTAAACAATCATCAATGAATCAATTTGACGGGTAGACATCTTAAACAAACATCAATGAATCAATTTGACGGGTAGACATCTTAAACAATCATCAATGAATCAATTTCCATTTATTTTTTTAGCGGAACGAGAAGAAGTGGAAGGTGGTCATTTGTCATTTGTACAAAAGAGTTTAATCTTAGCCTTGGTTAGAGCAGATTTGACCGTAAGTTTACAAACGGAACACTAAAAGGGATGAGAGTACGCCCGTAATGATAATGCGGAAAAATATAAGTAATCTACTGAAATTAAATGAATCCATCATGCTTCCCTTACTCAATGGCAATATAAAACAATCAATTCAACTTTTGAACTAACCAAAAGAAATGTCTTGAGCAACATCATAAAATCCACAATGGTGCATTTTCAAAATTGAAAATATACTCATATATGTCTGATGATTGCATGCGAAAACTAAAATTCTAAAGAATTAAAGCATTTGAAACTCGACATTAAAAATGAAATGTGTCTATTTTAATATTCCACCCAAAAGCAATTACACCAGTACAAGAGAATTTAAGAGAGTGAGTAGATATCTTACCTCGACCAGAGAGGCTAGAGTAAGTAATATAATGAGTTGAAAACAATATCCATAATTGCCAAGCGTCTGAAAAAACGCCACACATAAAACCAAAGCCCCCCCCCGGCTGACTTACTCGTACTGCAAGTTCTCCTCCTTGTTTCTGTGGTTGACAATCTGTATTGTATTCCCCCCAGCTGTCACGCACGTATTCACATTGTCTTTGAGGGTAGGGCGCACCCGCACCACCACTTTCACTTTGGTCTGAGGGGTCCTTTTCTCCATAGAGATGTAAGTTTGAGATCCGTTCCAAGGCTGATGGTGACAGAAGAAAAAAACAAGAAACATAAAATCAAATTGTCATATCAAAATCACAGAAACTTAGCTAAGTTTCCAGAAAGCTGACATGAGGCTTTTAGATCCAATTTATATCAACGCAAAGAAACAGTTAGTTACCATTCATCATACTACACTTCAACTCCATTCAACTATAATATTTTCCAGTTAAGCAATCACAACATCTAGCACATTCCAACTTGATGCTATGCAATGATTATAAAATACAGGTCAGCCATCCTTAAAAATATTTTTTTATTTTTCTGAGATGTAGGAGTTTTTACACCCCCATTGACACAATTTAGACCATTTAAATTAATGATGCAAATTCCGACCCTGCCTGTTAGATAGGGCCAACCCACGCGGAGAGGGCTAACACTCCAACAGAAAGACTGCGAAACTTGAAAATTTATTTCTACTCAGGAATTGAACTGCGTGCAAAAGTGGAACACCTTCCCACTACACCACAAACCCCCATCCTTCATTTAAAAAGTGAACATATCACTAGAGGATGTCATTCTTTTTCACCCCTGATTGTGAAACCTGTAAGATTTAACACTTTGCCCTATGGGACACCGATTGGCAGCGGTAAAAAACGTCTTGTCCCCATGGGACACCAATCGGCCCCAGTATAAATAGTAACAAAAATATAGTTGTAAATTAAATTTAAAATCTCATTTTAGAATGCACACTTGTTAAAGTCATAATTTTCTTTCTGAGTGGTTTGTGCAGCCTTTGAGCGCAAAAATCAGTCCTGTTCAATTTTAGTTTTAACAACAATGTGCTGAAACTTTCTCTATTGAGAGGGCATTTTTTTCCAAGATACAGGTACAGTACTGACGTAGCCCATCTGCATCCTGGTATATATGGGGACAAAGGTTGTGTGCCCTGCGCACTGGATGGGTGGAAAGGCAGGTGTCTTGAAAATAAAAACATACATGATGATCCTTGCCAGGATGAGTTTGAAAACATTTCAGAAAAAAATGTATTTGGAATAAGGAAGAGGCTAGCCATACTTAATGACGGCTAGACTGTTAGGCCTTAAGTACGGCTAGACTGCTTGGCAAGCCCTTCTTATATGATGGCCAGACTGACAACAAAAAAATATGCCTACTGAATTGTAAATTTTATTCATTTTTAGTTCGCAGTACCTAAAGTATATTTGTATTTGAGACAAAACCAGGTGCCTTACTAACAGTGCATGTTTAAACCTGAATAATTACCAATGAGACTTGTTTTTAATCATGTTATAGCATAGAGGCCCTTTTTAAGATAAGTACGGCTAGACTGCTTGGC